TTTCTTTAGTTGTGAGATATGAGCCGACCAGTTCAGTCGATTATCTATGGTTATTCTCAATAATTTAACAGTCTTTTTATGATCTGTATCATTATGTAAATTACTTGCAGACATAACACAAGTTTTGCGTTTTATCGGAGTTAAGTGTCAGTTTGTTTGCAGCAAACCATGTGTAGATTTGGTAGAAACTTCCTCGTAAGACATTTTTAAATTATCATTATTTTTCCTGACATACCAGCGGCTGAGAAGCGCTATGTGGCGATAGTTTTCAACCTTATCGTGAAGTTTACTGGATTTTAGTAGTTACAGCAATTATTTTGCTTTTCTTAAAAACTGTGGGAGGTTTCCAGTTGATGAGTTGACATGCACGAGTAGACAGCAGCCAACAATTTTCTTGGCATTTGCCCCCATTGAAGTAGAAACTCAAGATCTATCCTATCCAACCCAGGCGTCTTGCCAGTCTTCATTATTTTTGCTGATGTTATTTCTTCGCACAGGGCACTCTCCTCTAGTTTTTTAAGTATTTTTTTTTGTATCAATTTATCTTTCCAAGCTTCAGTGAGCGTTTATAATAGATCATTAGCTAGGTCTGGGTCACCATTCTCTATGTATTCGAAAGTTATTTACATTTATTATTCTTGCCCAAGACATACTCTGTGCATAACCTTTTGGCATGCATTTTTTGGAGTTGATATTACTGTACCTGAAAATTTTAGACCCATTTTAGAACTTTATTAAGTTAAAGAGATAATTTCAGTCTGCCTTTTGAAAGTTCCATCTTGGTCTGAGGCTAGATTAGATAATCAGAATCTAGATACCTACTTCAATAATAGGAAGCTATCATAAATTGATATTGTGCAAAATCCGAATGAAAACACATATATGTGGTAAAAGAAAACAGCACAATACAACACAAAGATAAAAGTCAAAGCTTACACGATGACTCCACAAGATACCTATTCCAAAAAGGAATAACCGAAAAAAGCAGAAATACAGATATCACAGAAAGTGATGAAATCGAAGAAAGATGAGCAAATATTAAGTCTAATATCTTAGCCTCGGCCAAAAAGTTCTTGGTGAAAGAAATATAAATAAAAATAAATCGTTCCCAAGGCAAAGAACTCCATGGTTTTGTACAGAAGTGGAGGAAAATGTAAAGAAAAGAAAAAAGCTTACCTGAAATACATGTCAACTAAAACACAAGAGGCATACCATAATTATAAGACAATTAGAAATTAAACACATGAACTTTAAGAAAAATAAAAAATTATTACTGAGAACCCTTTTCGAAAGAAATTGAACATTATTTTTACGGTCTGTAGAAGGAAATATGGCGCTTCATAAGATGCCAAAGAACGGAAAAAAGAAGAAAAAGAAAAGAACTAATAGAACGAAAAGACATAGAAAAGGATACGTGGATTGATTACCTAAAAAGTTCTATGCAGAGGAAGAACAAACGACGCTAGAACCGGAAACACCAGAAATTACCATAAATAAAGAACTTAATATAAATGTACAGGAAGTTCGGAAAATACTTCAAAACCTGAAAAACAGAAAAGCAGCACGTAAAGAAGGCATACCAAACGAATTACTGAAATATTGTGGAGCAGCAATGACAGAACAATTAACAACATTAATTAATAAAATTATAAAAGCACAATAAAATACCGAAATAATGGAGAATAAGAAAACTAATTCTACTATTCAAAAAAGGAGATAAAAACAGCCAGAAAACTACAGAGTTATAAACTTGTTAAATACTACACTAAAACTACAACTAAAATTTTAAAAGTACTAATAAATCATAGGATAAGTTTAGCAGACGAAAAACAAGGTTTTTGTAGTGGAAGATCCTGTACAGATGCAATATTCGTTATAAAGCAAACTACTAAGAAATCACTGGACTAGCATTTCTGTGTCTAATTGGCCTAAGTGCTTGACAGAGTAAGGGTGGTCGCACACAGAAAGAGCAAAAATGTTTTAGTCAAAAACGTTTTTGACTAAACGAGTCTGATGCTGATGTTTCCATATAAATGAAATGAGCTGACGCACACTGATTAGTCGTGTGTCTAAAGCATGTTTACGCTCATTTAGTTTCAGTCAGTCTGTTTGATGTTGATTACCTGATCGTCGTTTTGTCTCGAAACATTTCAATGTACGCAGGCGCAACGTGTTTTTGGAATTCCCTTCTTGAAACCGCTCGAATAGTCAACAAGAAGCACATGTGAAATAGCGATATTTTGTTTTTTCGCCTTGTAGGAGGAACCACTGCCTGAAAACTAGTGCAATTTCGTCGTTATCTGTCGACATCTTTAATAAAACTGATTGCAGTATGGTTTGTGCAAACATTTTGTTTCTCTTGAAAACAAAATGTTTCTTGTGGAAACAAAAACGTTTTCGTTTCAAACAAAAGCGTTTTTGACTAAACGAGTTTGATGCTGATATTTCCATATAAATTAAATCAGCGGACGCACACTGATTAGTCGTGTGTCTAAAGCATGTTTAGGCTCATTTAGTTTCAGTCAGTATGTTTGATGTTGATTACCTGATCGTCGTTTTGTCTCGAAACATTTCAATGTACGCAGGCGCAACGTATTTTTGGAATTCCCTTCTTGAAACCGCTCGAATAGTCAACAAGGAGCACATGTGGAAACAGCTATATTTTGTTTTTTTCGTCTTATAGGTGGAACCACTGCCAAAAAACTAGTGCAATTTCGTCGTTATCTGTCGACATCTTGAATAAAACTGATTGCAGTATGGTTTGTGCAAACATTTTGTTTCTCTTGAAAACAAAATATTTCTTGTGGAAACAAAAATGTTTTCGTTTCAAACAAAAACGTTTTTGACTAAAACAGTTTTGCTCTTTCTGTGTGCGGCCACCCTAAGACTCAAAGATGTAACCTATCTTCTGTATAATAGAAAAGTTCCACTAAATATTATAAAAACTATCGAAAACATATACCAAAACAACAAAATGGGTCAGAATAGATCTACAACTTACAGAACCAATAGAAATAGGTAGCGGAATAAGACAAGGAGATTCATTAAGCCCCATGCTCTTGAATTTGATCATGGATGAAATCATCAAAAGCGTTAACAAAGTAAGAGGATACAGAATGGGAAACAAAGAAATAAAAATACTCTGTTATGTAGAAAACGCAATATTGATAGCCCAAGATGAAGATAGTGCGCAAAGACTGGCCCACAGATTTAACATAAGAACAAAAAAATTTAATATGACAATCTCATCGCAGAAAATTGAAACAATAGTAGTCAACAAAGAACCAACCAGATGTAAAATAGAATTAATGGCATCAGAATTGACCAAGTAATGGAAATAAAATACCTGGGAATTACACTGTCTAGCTATGGAGACATGGACAAAAGTGAGAGATCAAGTACAAAATGCAAGTAGCCTGACAGGACGCGCTAACACTATATGGCGAGACAGACACAATAACACTGAGATGAAGTCAAGACTTTATAAAGTCAGTATAAGACCAATAATGACATATGCTTCAGAAACAAGACCTGACACAGCCACAACGCAAAGGCTACTGAAAACGGCAGAGATGAGACTACTGAAAAGAATTACAACAAATACACTAAGAGATTAAAAGAGATGTGAAGACATAAGAAGAAAATGTAACATACAGTGTATAAATGAATGGACACAAAATAGAAAAGAAGAATGGAATAACCACATAAGTAGAATAAAAGACTCTGTGTCATCAAAACAGCAACAGATAAGTCACCAATCGGTAGAAGTATCAGATCACTGTGCAAAAGATAGAGTGATAACCTTCCATAGAGGTATTAATCCACCAATGAACAAGCAGAATTGTTTATAAAAAGGAAATAGAAGAAGAGATTTTGTAATGAAAACATGTTAGAATGTTTGGAAAGAGAATTACTTAGGGCGAAACTTAGGAGCAACTTTGAACTTTATAGAATATACCAACAACTAGATATTGTAAAATACATTAAGATAGGATGGTGGGTAGGGCATATAATGTGGATGAAAAAAACTGACCCAACTAGAAAAACGCTACTTAATAAACCCACTGTCATTTTTGTGTTGATAAACAAAAGTCTGGTTTATATTCCCTGTTCCCTTATCTTTAGCATCAAATATTAGACTATAGTTGTTTTTGCCTACACCCTCTACAAGTATTTCGCTATTCTGTTTATTGCTGTGATATTTCTACACTGCACAATGGCTATTAAAATCTCCCATATAAACTGCTGGATGATAAAGATGAGACAGTACTCCAGGTAATCATTAAATCAGTGGAGGTGCATATATATTAGCGATTGTGAGTTCTTTGTTTTTTACTGCCATGAATTGAATGTTGCCAGACATACATTTTCTTTTATTAGGAATGTATGTCATACAGCTAATTATATGTACAATGATATGTTGAACTGAGAATTTCAAATCCTGGTATTTTGCCTCTATATATTAGATTAATGAGTTTCCCGAATTGTAGCCATATCAATAATATTTTCTCTCAGGATCTTAAATAGTAACTCACACTATGATCTGCCAAGTTCCTCATGTTTAGTTCACATATTAGTAAGCTTGTTAAATGCTCCTTGTTATATGCCTAGTTCTGATAAGAAATATTTTTTGTAACTTTCCATGCATCTCGATGGATAGGAAATCTTTAAAAGACAGACTTGTGCCACCAACTGTTGCACTAGCATATTTGGCATTTGTCAGGGTGCTCATGTAAAATTCTTTTAGAGATGTGAGCTAGACTACACCCATATATTACCACACAAGCCTATAACAAACTATCACCTAACATTAAAAATATAAATGAGCTACATAGATTTAGAAATTCAGTAATTTAGTTTGTAGTTTTTAAGTGTTGATTAATAGTTACTTAAATATGTTTCATTTTTTTTAAGTTAGGTATTCTGTGAACAGCAATAAAGATATCACTATTATTATTATTTTTTGAGCATCAGCACAGCTAAAATAAAAACAAACATACTTTATTTAAATTTGTCAACATCTGCTTCAACTTCAATCCTAAGAAGTCATATTTTGTATCCAGGTACATAATATCACTGTTGTTGGCCTTTGATGCAATGTTTTTTAAAACTGTTAAACAAAATAAACTCTTCCCAGAGGCAGGCAAGCCACATATTTCATAAATATTTCCAGTAAACAATCCTCCCTCTAATATGGAATCCAACCTAAAATTGCAGAACAATACATTATAGAATATGTATACAATAATATGTAGAATGTATTTACACTGTAGAAAAACTGTACTTATGCTTCACTTGTAAAATTCACATAAATAAAATATCTTATTTTTAAGGACAAATCAGTTGATCACCTCAACAAATTCTCAATGAAATTATACAATAGCTGAAAATTGATAATTTTGTAATCAATTAGAAAGTTTCTACATAGTTTTAAGATGCAAAATATTTAAATGCAAACATAAGACAGTATAACACAGTTATAGTAGGATCGTTTTAGCCTGTCGCATAAGTAATAAAATTGTCTGTTCAGATTTGCCCCAGGTAGTCAGTGGTTCTCAAATTAAAAATGTAGGGATTTTTTGAAAAATTTTTTATATTACACATGCAACTTCAAAAATTAATATTGTGGTTAATATTTATGCTAAAAAAACAAAAATTCTTTTTCAGCGTGTACTAAACTCTATTTTTATTTAAGCATAAAAAATTTGGCAATGTTAATACTGGGTGTCCAAAATTTTGTATTATATTTTTATTTTTATATATTTTATAAATATATCTATAAAAATATATATCTATATAAAACAAAGACTTATTCCTACTTCCCACACACACCTTCCCAAACCCACCGAGGTAGATTGTCCTCTTGCGGTACAACCAGCCCCGGCTTTCCTCCGCCCCTTGGTCTTTGGAGCCAGGTCTCGACTATTTCGTGGTATCCCCGTCAGGCAATGGGAGATTTCCGTGTATTTACATTTAAGTGGTAGGTTAGCCCATTTGGCTTTATCACTACCGGTCAAAGCAATTGTTAGGCGATCTAATGATGGTTGTGTGTGCCAATACTTGCTTTCCCTTTTCTGCACTAAGTGCAGTGGAGAGCGAGCAAGCATCGAATCCTTTCATCTGTCATCTAATACCCAGTCATTCGTCCAGTCATGTCCTTAATCTACCTTACTTGCTAATCTAATTTTTTTGGTGCTTGCATTCAAGACCGTCGTGCGGCATGCCTCCGGCTCTCTCCTGCATGCGGTTTTTGTTTTATATTTTTTTTGGTTAGTACCCTTTTGTGTTAATTTTTCTATCTACATCTTAATCTATGGACAGGTATCATCACTATCTGACTCGCTATCCGATTCATCTTAATCTTCATCTGTACGAATAATTAAAGGTCTTACTTCATCAATAACTTCTATTTCATATGACTCTAAATTTTTTTTTTAGTATGCTCAATACATTTCCGCCATTGTTCCTCATTGACTTGGTTTAGTGCATCTTGCCAAAGTTGTAAAACGCTGGCTTCGTCGGTGGTCTTACATGCATGTTTATCATAGTAGTTTTTAGTGATGCCCCACACCAATTCAATTGGATTGTACTGGCAGTGATATGGTGGTAGTCTTAGGACCTCATGACCATATTGTAGTGCCATTTGGTCAATGACAAATTTTTTCTCAGTAATGTGGTCTTTGCACTTATTTAATAATTCAGCTTTTAAAACTAGATGTTCGTGTTCTATATTTTTCTCCGACAGCAACTTTCTTAAGTCTGTTTTTTTCCAGCTGCTTGTCGGAAACTTTTCCTCCCCTCTGGTGTGATACGAAGCATTGTCTAAGACTATTAATGACAGATTTTCCAGATTTTTTAATAATTTTTCCTCAAACCAATGTTCAAAAATATCGGCTTCCATATTTCCGTGGTAATGATCAGTTTTTTTTTGTCAAAGAAAATATAAGACTAGCATTGGGTATAAAACCTTCCGTATTTCCTGCATGCAATATAATATATCTTTTGCCATTACTTGCACTAGTACTCGAATAGCATTTGGTAGAATCATCTTGCCAGGATGATTTAGTATTATTTCCTTTCACAAAAATCCATGTTTCGTCATGAAACACAAATTGTCTGGCAAATTCGGAATTCTTGTTTTTTTAAATAGTTTCTTATAAATTTCCACCTTTTTCCAACATTGGACAGCTCACACAACACTTTACGATTATTGGTTTTTTTTTGTATCTAAAACCCATAGCTTTTAATACTTTTGATAAACTGGTCAAACCCATATCACAAAGTTCTCTGTCCTTTATTTTTTGAATAAGTGTCTTTCTTGTAACATGTTCTTTTGCTTTGTACATGTCATAAACGATATTTTTGATTGATATTTTAATACCTTGTGGCAAGTCAAGGGTTTTCAGATGCAAATGAATCCTTTTATTTTCCTTACTTAAGCATCTAGAGGTCACAGTAAACAGTGCATTTAAACAATTAGGGTTTATAACTAGAAACGCTTCTCAATTTTCATGTTTTGTTTTACCAATTCTTTTTAATAGTCTCATTCGCTCCAGACTAGAATATGCAATAGTTGTATGGGGACCTTACTATCAAACATCTATAGACAAGCTTGATCGTGTTCAGCATAAATTTGGTAAACACTATCATTACCGTAGTGCTTTTCAGGACCTCTCTCTCCCATACAGTTATCATGGTTTCTATGAATCAGCGAAAAGATTATTTTTGTCTAATATTCCTTTACAAAATTGTTAATAATTTGATAAATTGCCCTGAACTTTTAAATCAATTAGGTCTTAACACTCTTCATGGAACTAGGCATACTTCATTATTTCATCTACCATTTCATCAATTTCATTATGAATACTTCAAGCATCTTACTCATATGGTGAGACTATATAATAGGTACCAAAGTGATCTGGACTTATTTTTCCAGTCCTCAGAACAATTTAAAAATGTGATAAAGAGACTGCTATTTGTGTGATATTAGTTTGTATTCAAGTTAATTATTAGTTTTTGTTAAACTTACTAATTATTTTCCAATGTTATGCTTACTTTGTAAAATTTTATACTTATTATATATTGTTCCAATGTAAATGGTATATCCGTTAATAAATAAATAAATAAATTTTGAAAGCAGGAAAAATCATTTCTGTGTTGTGTACAAACCCTTTTATAAGTGTGTTATACTGTCTTATGTTTGCCTTTAAATGTGTATAAAAGTGGTGATCAGCTTGAATCTTTAAGTAGGTAAGATATGGAGTTAAAATATACTGTTTTATATTTTCAGGTTACAGTGGACATTATTTGTATATTTATAAAATATATTACTCTAAAAACGAAACTGTACAAAAAGATGAGGATGAGTGACAAAGATGAGTATACTTGAAGTAAACATATTTAAAAAATGTACTCATTATATTCTAACTAAACTAACTGATACACATTCAACGTCATATAAAATGAACATTATTGCTGCTTTGCAGGTAGATTGAAGTATATTTTCCAACAGGGTGTTGCACAAGGTATGTTCTTTTATCAGTATCACAAAGAAACTGTTATAATGATACAATTAAGACAGTTTATTTCCTTCACTGGCTTATAAAATATTTTATAAAACCTATAACCATACCTCTCAATCCCTGTGGGAATAAGGGCAAAATTACTTATTATATTTTGATAGTAATCATAGGCACTTATTGGTTTGGAATATATCTTTAAAAGTTTCTTTTTTATTTCTAAAACTTCCTAAAACAAAGATATTAGCATATATATTAGTTTAAAATCTAAAATATAAACCTTACTTTGAGTGTTAAGCTTGTAACCTTTTCAATTTTTTTACTTTCACAATTTAAAAATTGAATAACAGTACTAATTTCGACCTCATTTAGAAGTTTTAAAACGTTAGAACTTAAATTATCGTGTAAACTGGCACTTAGATATTCCATAACCAAATATTTATGCAATCCATAGAGACCGTTTTAATAGTTTTTAACCTAGTTTTGTTTTTAAACTAAAACTCAAAACTGGTTTTGTTTTTAAACTGTAAAACTGGTTTTTAAATTTTCTTGACACTTGAAATATGACTACATATGACATCCAATCATCCAAAACTCTTCTTCTGTTTTTATTAGTTGAGAATACTATTAAATGGGTTTGTTTGTGTGTCTAATTAATTTCGATTATTCCTTCCTTATAAATCATTATAAAATACACAACAAAAAACACAGAATGTCCATTAGAAATATTTATTTTAACATATCTGTATTAATTAGGCCATTAAAGATAACGTCCAATGTTCGAATGACGTCATTCTCTAAAATAACATTTATGTTTATCTTTCACAGTATATTAGTATCTAGAGAGCTTAGTTAAAATTAAAAAACTAAAAATATATATTGATAGTTGATACATTTTTATTTATTCTAAAAATGATCGTATACAGTTGTGATAGAGCCATCGAGCAAAAAGATAGAGCACTATTTTAACAGCATTTTATGGACTTTAAATTCGATAACATAACAATGGCAACATTGCTCTTCCAGGGCAAAGTTCTCGATTGATTTACGCATAGTCAGTGAAGGGAATACGCTTGCGCAGTTAAAAATTTTACTAGGCGTTGCAGATCGGCTTGTCCAGACATCTTTTCAAGGAATGGAATATCGCGTCGCTATGTCATGTAAGACCAATGCGTCATTTTTGCTGAACGCGTAAAATGTAGAAAACAGGTATATTTTGCAATTTTTAAGTTACGTGGACTACCTAATTGTATATTAAAGTATCAGTAAGACGATAATCATATTTTTTACTGCGGATGATTAACCTTAACGTGAATATTTTGTGATTACATGATGGTAAGTATCGACGGTCTAGAAACTTACAAAATGGCGTCTCAAAAATTTCCTTTGTTCATATATAAATATTTTTTGAAATACTTCTGTATCATACTGTTTTGAAATAAATAATTACGTTTTCAACGAAATTTTATTTGTTTCCAATTATTGTTCCATCCGATGAAAAAAATAATTTCAAAAAAATAGTCTTAGCGCATTTCTAGTGCGTTTATTCATCTCCGATCACAAAACTTCAGTCAATAAAATTTTGCGTCATGAATTGAACCTATTGATTATTAAATCCATTAAATTTTTATCCAGTCATTACCGCAATAAAATAAATCTAATGGTAAATTTATTTGAAATCATTTCGTGTTGGTTCCGGAAATAGTTTCAAACAAGTCTGGCTTTACCGCCAAAATTAATTTTAACTTTTTTAGTTTATCCTTTTTTATTACGTCAACCAATGATCTTTCACTTCCTAGTTTACATTTGTTTTTGTTGTTTACTCCTAGCAATTAAAATAATAATTATGATCGTGAAATATTCGTAATTCCGGATTTTATTGTGCAATAGTTCTCTAACTATATAATGAAATAATTTATGAAAATTATTGAATATTTTTAAGCTGGTTATGAATATAAAGGCTAGACTAAAAAATTGGTAAAAACTGAACTAGTATGTTATTTTCAGAGATTTCGAAGATGAGTGACGAAACTCCGGGGGTAGGGCAGGGTGCTCTGCCCCCGAGAGAGGGCCAAAGCCTTCGACTCCTTGCAGAGCGCCCTACTACTGGTGCTACAGTGAGGGTGGCCCAGGTTGTTGGTGGTCAGTATGTGTTGACAACACAATCACATGGTATGCCAGCTCTAGCACAGGTATTTATGAATTCATTTTTATATCTGTATGTTTATGTAAGCTTATTTATTTTTACGAGATTCCTGAGATAATTTTATTATATGTTATGTCATAATTTTGAGCCACAAAATAGGTTTTTGTGGATTTTTATAATCTAAATCAGTTTATGGAAATAATTCTAATCATTGACACTGCTTATTTAATGTTGACTGAATATTTTGTTTTACAGTAAAACCTCTGTTAACCGAAATAATTGGGGGAGGCCGTTTCGGATAATAAGAATTTCGGTTAACAATAACATTGTTTTTTATAGTATACTTGGTCGAAGTATTAGTATTAAAAAATACTATGAAGTGATTTCGTAATGTTTTCTAATAGTAAATACAGAATAAAATAATAAAATAAAGGAAAAGTTTAACATGCTTTTTTTTAAGAAATCTTCTTTTCTTTTGCGTTTTTGTTTGACAACAATGTTTTGCAGCTATATCTCTTCATCGTTCATTTGCAGAACGCCATGAGTTGGCCTTATTTTATTGTTTAACGAAACGTAAAGCAATCTGAAAATGACAAAACTTTATGAAATGAAAACAAAAATTAAGAACCAATTCGTGTCACTAACTAGTTAAGCCTACTGTATAAAATATCTGTAAGGCATTGAAAATCTAGTCGGCGGTCTCGTGCTGCCTGTTGTCTGGCAGTTGGATCGTCATCTTCATCGTCTGATACGCTCAGGCTGTCTGGATGAAGAATGATATCAATCCTGGTTGATGAATTCCGTTTCTGAGTAATCGGCTGCTAACCACTCACGTATCTCTTCTTGGTTAATTTCGTCACATCCCGGCAAATGTTTTATGAAAGGTTTAATTTCTTCTGCCGTTTCTTTACCATTTTCTTCTTCAGAATTGTCAATCAAAATCCCATCAAAAAGTTTGATCCAGCATTTTCCCCAGTTGAAGATTTGATCTTGGCCCATGACTCAACACACCAATAAACAACATGTTTCATTGTTAAAGATTTGAGAATTTCGGGAACACTTTTGGATTCATTCGTCTCCTGTAATAACAGATGTCTTAAGAATGTTCCTCTATAAGTCCCTGGTCTAACGGCTGAATTAAGCTCGTGACATTCGGTGCCAAAAATCTGACAATTTTCACCATTTTGAGGGTAAGTTGGCGCATTGTCAAGGAGCAACAATGCTTTGATGGAAAGGTTTTTTGATTTTAAAAAGAATTTTACACTTGGGACGAATTCATTTTCAACAATTCTGAAAATAAAGTGGTCGATATCCTAGAGCTTTTTTGGCTTCTAAAAAAACTTTAAGTACTTTTTCGGAAATATATTTTAGAGCTCTTGGTTATTTTGATTCCCCAACACATATATGCATTAACAGGAGAGTGAAATTAATGGAATTGTTTACGTTTTGCGATATAAATTTAATTTTTATTGACGAAATTATTAAAATCGTCAGCCGTTTCGGTTAAGGGAGGTTTTACTGTATTTACTTGCACAAAAATGCAGACTACTGGGCATATGTGTGTTTATAAATTGTTTGTCAGTAGTTTGTAATTACATATTTACATTTATCAAGGAATCAAACTGTATTCATTTTAAATTTGGTATTTACATGACTATTGAATTGTTTTATTTTGTGTAGTATAAAAGTTATAATGTATGGAATTTGTAACTTTTGGTATTATTGCTTTTAAATAGGACTTCTTAATACAGAACAATTCTGATTGTTTCAATTCCTAAAAATGACAAATGTTTTTAGGGCTTCCCTATAATCACAATATATTTTAAATATCATTTTAGTTTGTAGATCTTACCATTAGACAAATACAGTAAATACACTGCGCGTCATGAAAAAGAGGTCACTTAGAATTTTGTAAGAATTTTTCAATAACTTTTATCACTTCAATAAGTTTATATAATTTATTCTATAGTAACTCAATTCCCACAATGCAGAAACACTTTTAGCGTGCCGACAGGTCAATTAAGGGTATAAATTAGCAGAATTGATATCAGTTTTACGATTTCCGATAATGCACGTGTTGTTTGTACCTTATTTTTCTTTGAATATGGTTATTCTGTTTTTCAAAAACCTTTCATTAATGTACAGTTGTTCGAAGAGTAAACTTGTGCAATTTTTAAATTAAAAACTATGGCTGAGAAATTTGCTAGATCTGTTCAAATTGTTACTTTAATTGATAATAAAATGAGACAAAAAGAAGTGGCCAGACACCTTGGAGTTAGTCGTTATATGGTCCAAAAAATTTACCAATGATTCGTAGAGACTGGATCTCACGAACGACAACCAGAATCAGGCCATAGAAGAATCACGACGGCCAGAGAAGACTGTTGTCTACAACGACCTTCTTTGCAAAATCGGTTCCTTAAGCACTTCTTTTGTGAGAAGAAGGTTGAGGGAATTTGGTCTAAGGGCTCGCTGTCCAGCAAGATCACCTTTGTTTAACAGCAGCACATCAACAACTGCGACTACAGTTTGCTAGAGACCACGAGCATTGGACAATAGAAGATTGTAAAAATGTTTTGTTTAGTGATGGGTCCAGGATGGTTCTTTATGGCTGAGATGGTCGTGAGAAAACAAAGATGTGGGGAATAATATGTTGCTTGGGTTTGACGAGTACATGATGCTTTTGGAAGAAGTTTCGGTAATGTTTTGGACAGGCATTTCAATCGAGAGCCGTACTGATCTTGTATTTATTCATAGAGGAGTGTTGAACGCATACCGAAATTCTAGACGAGCATGTAATACCTTTTGCTGGGTTTGTCGGCGAAAACTTCATTTTTATGCAAGACAACGCGCTTCCACACGTAGCGAGGATGGTAATGCAATATCTGGAAACTGTCGGTGTGCCAACTGGCCGGCTTAAAGTCCAGATTTCAACCCGATTGAACATGTATGAGACCAACTCAAACGAAGGGTAAGAAACAGAATACCTGCTCCAATAAATTGTGATCAGCTTCAGTTGGCGTCACGGAAAAATGAGAAGCTTTTCCTCAAAATGACATCCAGAATTTGATCAATTGAATGCCAAATCGAATGAGGAGTGTAACTCACAATAGAGATGGTAATACACAGTATTAATAATCGCGACTTGTAATTTTATAAAGAAAAAGAAAAAATGTACAATGTTAATTTTTTTTATTTTTCAATAAAATCATTATTTTGGAAGAAGGTATTTTTTGGCATTTGTTATTTAAAAAATGATTGCATACTGCTGTATAACATATTCTTAAACATTACACAAACATCTAGTGATAATCACTTTGTGGTATAATTCGTAAAAATTCAAAAATGGCAAAAATTTTTGGTGGCCTCTTTTTGTGATGTGCAGTGTATGATTTAAAATATATTGTTATATATTTTCTAACCCTTAATAATCTGTTCGTCTTCCTATGCCGTCCCCATTAACGGAGGTTTGCGATCACATTTCTAAAAGTTTCTCTGTTTTTTGCAACATGGAATAATTCATTTACAGTCATGTTCTCCAGTCTCGAATATTCGCAGCCATGACTTCCTCTTTCTACCTATTCCCTTTTTGCCATTGACTCTACCCTGCATGATGCCCTGCAGAAGACTATATTTACCATTCCTCAGTATGTGTCCAAGGTATGCAGTCTTGCATACTTTTGTTGTTCTTAACAATTTTTTGTCTCAACCCATCCTCAGCACTTCCTCATTGGTGACCCTGGCAGTCCATGGAATTCTCAACATCCTCCGTTATATCCAAAGTTCAAAGGCTTCAAGCTTTTTAACTATTTGCGTTTTTAACGTCCATGTTTCTACCCCGTACAGCAGTTGAGACCAGATGTAACATTCAACAAACCTCAGTCTCAGCGCAGTATTCAGATTTTTGTCGCAGAACAATTGCTTAATTTTAAGAATGATGCCCTTGCCATTTCTATTTGTACTCTGATCTCTTGGTCTGGATTTAATTCTGTGTTGATGTAAGTTCCCAGATATTTATATTTTGTCACTCTCTCTATTTGCTGTCCACCAAGGGTTACTTGTTCATTATTTATTGGACTCGTTGATACTATTATAAATTTGTTCTGAAGCTATTTTCTTGTGGCATTGTAAATTAATTACTATTTAACTGGGAATAAGCCACAATTAAAGATAAAAATACGTTTATTGACGTTTCAATTTCCACTTCGAAAATCGTTCTCAAAATACAAACAGTAAATTAAACAAATTTTGTTTTTTGTTACATAGTGAAAAATTCTTCTAATAATTTAATTTTATCTGACTCATTTATATTGACAATTCAGACATACATTCTGCATTTTAAAGTAGACGACTTTAAAATGATATTGCCAATATTGTTGAGTTGCGCTCCTGGACGACTTATAAGATAGTTCATTCGATTACATGAAATCAACTTTAACTTAGAATATCCGTCAGAAAAAAATCATAGCATGTAATTCGTCTTTAAAAAGACAAAACACATGACATGATGACAGTAAAATTCTCCTGTTAGTGATTCCATAGTAAATTATGAGGAAAAACCAGGAAAAAAACCTCATAATACTATCCCGACATTGTAAGTATTTGTTCGTGAATTTAGTTTACCTTTAATAAACATATTTTTATCTTTAATTGTGGCTTATTCCCAGCTAAATAGTAATTAAATTATAAATTTGGTCATATCTGTGTAGATGTCAAGTCCCATTTAAAAGCATTCACTATTTATTGCTTCTAGTAAAGTTTGTAGTTCTTCTATACTCTCAGCCATAATTACCCTGTCATCTGCAAATCCCATGGTGTTTACAATTTCTCCACCAATTCTTATTCCCTCTTTTCTTTCCCATAAGGCTTTTCTGAATATAACCTGTGATAATAATCTGTTAATCCATACATATTTAAAATAATCAATAAAAAAACTGGATTATTCACATCACTTGAATTTAGATAATGATTATTGGTGGTTTGTATGCAATTGCCTATTAACCCTTAAGTACTGACAACTACAGTTGTTACACAAACATTGACAGG